ATATATATATATTCAAGATATAGATATATAGATACATAGATACGTGTACATGCTATCACACAATCGCAGGAAGCAAAAATTCATACAGATGCGCACCTTCCGTTTTTCTATGTCAAAAGTACAATTATTTATGTTCACATATGGACAGAATCTATATGGGCACGCAAAACTGCATAATTGGGTTAAGCGTTAGTCAGCAAGCAGGCGAAGATTCCAGGATGCTTTCGATTAACGTATTGTATTTGTTTGCAGAAGCAGCACATACCTGCTTATCACGGCCCTATATATGCAAATGTGTAGTTTGTATTCTCACATTTATGTATTTAAGTATTTCTTAAAATCAAAATTTCGCAAGTGAACGAATACTAACCAAACTCAGTGCATCATGGCTATTGTGAATGTGGTGGTTTATATTGCCGTATTGGATCCTTGTTATATCTTGTGCAAAATTTGCTCGTGAATTTATACCTATATCATACGTGGTTTGTGCACTTGTAGGACCATCGGACGCGGATGACTATATCGTATGTACTATCGCAAAGTGTTAAGTTACAAGTGTACGAACAGATATTGTCGGCGACGATCGATGCATATAGCCACGTGCCTCCGTTGATCGCAAAGACTGGGGAAGTGTGTCTAACGAGGTATGTGGAACGAGTTTCGATATTCGCAACATAACCTTGTAGTCGAAACTGCAGGTGATAGCCATATGCAGAAATGGTCACGATTGTTAATACGTATGGATATGTGAAGTACGGGTTTCTTCTCCGGGAGGTCTCTGCGGCTACGAACCGCACGTAGAGAAGCTATCGGCGATATGTCCCAGTGAGATGATACGCTCTTTAAGAGTTCATGTTCATATGGCATTTCTACTGTTTTGAAGCTCGCTTGAGGCAATCATCGGCGAAATGTCCCATCGAATTGTGCATAAGGATAAATGTTAAGGTGTACACTCGGGTATTTGGCATTATATGTATATTGGTTATAGTATCGTCGGTCACTCCTAGTGACCAGGAACGTCTGGCAGTTGTCTATATGTGGGGTTGTGTGTCGATACAATACTTAATCGTAAACGAAAGTGAGGTTCATGTCAGTCAATGTGACGAGGTATGCTAGCGATTGAAGCATCACGCGAGGTGTGGAAGCCTGGTATACGTGTGATATTAATCCGCTTTTTTTAATTACCAGCCACATCCGAAAATATGCATTGCATTTCGAGTCTTGAAACAGAAAATCACCGGAGCTCCCCTTGGATTTATCGTTAAAGTTGTCGCCTTGACACCATTTTTTTTTATCTACCTCCAGGAAGCAATCTAATGCATTTACGGGTGAACTATATGTGCTGAATAGTGCAATCACACTCGTCTCCAACATTATGGATACGCCGACAACGATGTGGTAGGTGTTGAGATAAGTGTTTGGTGTCAGGTTGTTGGTTCGTTTGTGCCTAATTTGCACACTGGTACAAATAGTAGGATTGCCATGTGTATAGATTCTTTGATGCTTCACAGGTTGCTTGTGTACAACTGTTGATGGGGTGTCAGCATGTGCTGTAGCGGCTCATAAAGACAAATCAGTTATCACGCAATATACACATTTTATACAATCTGTTTTCCATTACTGTTCGAAACTAATTGTCGATATACTATCCAATTGCAGGGAAGAGAATGAAAGCCTCACATTGCTTTACAAAGCCATACGGAAGTATCTTCAGATGGGAAGGAGGCTGGAAATCGTGGAGGAACGGTTCAATGTCATGGACGAGGTTTGCTCGTACGTGAAAGAGGATATAAATAACTACGTAGAAGTTAACCTTTATTGGTGGGTCATTATACTACTGGCTGTAGATGCCTTGGTGATGGTGATTGAGACTAACTTGGACTTCTTAGACTAGCCCGAAAGCTTGATATAATAGTATGTAGCTTCAGCCCATGGTGGATCAAAATCATTCAACAGCTGATGTCTCAAAACAGGAGTATTAATATACTATAATTCGAACAATAAATCGAACCCCCTTATGAGTAGATACAAAACTTGTCATGCAGTTACGGTGATTAAGCATTTGGTTCTGCATCTAAATAGTTGACAATCCCAGGATGCTAACCACCTTGTCCGATCTCTGAATAGACCAAAGTATTAAATGGTAGCTAGTATGGAGTATGCCGAGACATGTCTTAATTGCGCTTTGATTACGAAGTTTAATCTGTTCGTACTTTGTCGCTCGTGTGTCTTTCATCCTCTGGTGTGCCATACTGGCTGTACTACTATCATCCTACCTACAGTAGCTGCTCTTTATTATAAATTGAGGGCGTCTTGCTAAAGTGCTGGAATTTCATAATAAACACTTGTGCATATGCGCGAAATAAATGTTTCCTCAACGCAGTGATAAATCAAGGTTCGATTCCTTGTCTCGGAATGCTATTTAGCGTGTGGGAGGATGGACAATAATGGGTACGTTATGCACATACTGACAAGGGTTCTCAGTTCGCATACAGATGCAGCGATAATTGAGCTCCACAATGGCGATAATTGAGCTTCACGATCATATATAATATAATGTATAATATTCCAGTACGAACAAAATATTTATTATTGTATTAATCTAAGATGATTTTCAAGTCTATGTGCAGGATGTCAACGCTCACTGTACGCATCGAACCAATCTCGACTCGTATTGGACTTTGAATCGTAGTGCGAATTTGTCTATCGGGGCGTTAGAACACTCTGCTTTCAGTTTCTTGGTTGTTGATAAATTGTAAGATGTGAAATATAACCTTATTGCTTTCAGAAGCATTCGTGCTTTATATCAATCTATTTCAAGCTTATTTCCTTTCCAGCATGCGTGCTTCCCACGTGATTAGTGAGAGCGCTTGAAATAAGAAGATTCGTGGGAGCGTGCGGGATGGAACTACAAGGGTTCGGGTATACCGCAACTCGAGAAGAAAAATCACTTTCTTTCCCACATCTCAAGTTAATGTGTGTTCTTCGCATCTCGATCAGGTAGATATTGATGCTGTGTAATGTTATTTTGCAATTGCTATGGAGCTGTCTGCTCCAAACATGCATTCGGTGATGGACTTCAAAAAACTATTGGTGCAGGTCCTGCGCTCGGCATATTCGGTAGATTCTATAATTGTCAATCGTGACAGAATGCTCGCCCTCTAATTCACATCCAATTGGATTCTAAATATAGGCTGAGATGCAACTAAGTGGATTGTTCTACATCTGGGCACACGCCTGTCCGCCGCCTGTGGGATTGGCGTCTAATGTCTGTTTGCTTTTGGTGATTGCGTGGAACGTTTCGTTCACCTTCTCCAATATTTTAGTCCTGTGTGGTGTTACAACAAAATAGTCGGCTCATGAGTGAAGATGAAGTGACCTCAGGCCAGAACGATAGACACTGGAGTTTGTAACAAAGCGACACTCAGAAATGTTCCTCGTGAATTGAGAAGTTGCGCTTCAATAGAGTATGAGTTAAAACTATCTTTCAATTCCGAATTTTAAGCAAACTCGCAATAGTTGGCAACAATACACAACTTAATCGACAGAACGAATGTAGTATCTTGCTTTCAATTTTCTATCGGGAGTTTGACGATCGAGAGAAGGAATAGTGATGGAAACTTTGTTCTCGTGTGTTGTGCGTGGCCCATACCTGTCAATTGGACACAGGGCGTCTCCAAACTTGGCAATGAACTTGTCCGGATGCCTAAAAAAAATGAATCAAGCAAAATGATAAGGTGGACATATATTTGAAATTTTCGGATTTTGATATCTCTCATTGATACAAAGGTACTCGCGAAAAGCACTCGATCGGCACAAACAGAAGCGCCGACATGAACTATGCCCGAGAAACTCAAACAATAGATAAAAGAGGGAGTGCAATTCAACAGATAATCAAATCCCCACATGCATACCATCTGAGTGTTGCCTTCCGGATCTTTTTCTTTGCAGTCCCTACAGTGTCTTGCCGCTGCACAGTAAACCAAATCGAATATTGATTTAAAAAAATGCGAAATTAGTCATAATGATCACAAATGCAGTACGCGGGAGTGATTTTTTTTTTATCAGACCCATAGAGAATCATGATCACCGTCGATTCGCTACAAGCGCTTCCGTCTGTTGTGCTCGTTTTTGTGATTTCCATAATTGTCACTGCGAACACCACGCCTCTACATTGCCCTCATCCAAAATATTTTCGATAGATACGTTCGCAATCTATTTTTCGTTTGAAAGTAACTCTTCATTACCTAAATGACATGCATATTGATCACTTTAAGGTACACAATACAATACACTGCCTGCAAATGTGGGATACAAATCCACTAGCCAATTGAACATGTGAATCTGCGTGGCGATCGAACTCCGTACATAGTGCGCACCTGCAATAGCAATGCGCAAATGTGTCATCAAGCTGGCTATCGCTACGTTAGCTGCACCTACTTATAGCAAGCATTACGAAGTGATTTACATACGTACGAAACATACCGAAAGACCGGGTGCGTTTGGCCCAGGCCAAGGTATGTGATGGTGCTTGATTGGAGCCTTGAAAGAGGAAGAAAAATGCTCCCATTTGACATCGAGGTCGTGTACTGAGTGAGCGCATACGAACGAGTCGAAGTAGAAAGTGAGTACAACGTAAGTGGTATCTGAGTTGTATATTTACAATAACTATTGCAGCGGAAGTTATTCGAAAGCTTTCTAGTACTCGTGGCCACAAGCTGTCATTTTGTCTCTTTCGATGTGCTGCTGTCAGTTTATGAATACTCTGTAACACTTTTGACTCAAGTCAAGATATACAAGAAATCGTAAAATAGATACAGCGCGTAATATGTGAAAGAGCACGTATACATGTGCAAACTACGCATACACATGTACGAGTCTTCCAGTGACACACCCAGTCTGGTCTACCCAGATATGCCTGTAGAAGTCAAGTTAGATACTCAAACACCTATTATACTCACCCATGCCGTCTCCACCGAGACCCCCAGGAGGTTTGAACTGAGCCCCGCCCCGGGGGTTCTGCCTGTTACGTGCCTCGTGTTCGCGCCTGATCTTCTCCTGACGCTCTCTCTCCAGCCGTTCACGCTGCTGTCTGAGCTGTTCCCTGTACGCCGCCTCCTGTGCGCGTGCGTGTGTGGCTGCTTGGGCCCTAGCCCTCTCCTCAGCGTATGCTCGCATCTGCGCTTGCGCATTCGCCTCGCGTTGTGCCTGTTCATATAGCCTCTGCTGTGCCAGAGTCTTCTCTCGTTGTTCCCTCTCGTACTCAGCCTGAGCATACTTGCGTGCTTCTTCACGCGCCTTCTCTTCCGCATCGACTGTCTCTCCTGTTTTGGCCCTGCGCTCTTCCTCGGCGGCGGCTGCTTTGCGATCTTTCCTCTGTTGCGCGTGACACGTATTACATAGCCCAGATATCTTGATGAGTTTCCTATAACTGGTGCCATGGCATAGCCAGCACGGAACCAGTTGTTGCTGGCCCCGTCCGAAATCATCACCTCCAAAACTGTTTCCAGGAGTGTATGTATTTGTATATGAAGAATTATTTGCACTGGCTTGAGGTTGAGCTCTTGGCCCAGGTTTTGCTGTCGAAGATGTGAACCCGGGCATAGAGTTTGGTGCACTTCCAGGGGGAGGTGCTCTCCCCCTGCCACCAGCTGATTCCTGTGTCTGTGTGCGCGCGTTCGAGTCTGCGCTGTCTTGAAACGAGGATGGGGATTCAGTTTTAGGTTCCGAACTATTTTCCTGTGATGCTCCTGTACTCGATGGAGGGGGGTTCTTTATGGACTCACGCAGTAGTGTACGCAGATGCTGCTTCTCTACGCATCCCGTCCAACTGACCCCCAGTGTATCCAATGCCTGCTTAAGCTTCTTCACGCCCAACGAATCTATCTGTGTGTCGTCTAAACTAAGCACTCCCTCCCGCTCAAGCAAATCTGGAGGGCTTCCGTCCTTTCCGGCGTTCGCGCTTGTATTATTACCATATGTCCCGGCGTTTGTCTTCGCTTCATCTGTTTTACGTGTTGGCTTTTCTTCGGTGTCTTGGCTGCCAGGTGCGGGTGTGGGCACTTTACTGTGTTGTTGTTTCTTGAATTGGTTGGCAGTAGACGCGGGTGGTCGAGCGTGCTGGAATTTAGTCCTCGAAGCAGCTGTTGAAGCATTCGAGTAAGTATCGAATCATCAGAGTGAAAAAGAAGTTAATAATTGGAATTTCTTTCTTAAAATTTTGAATGAATGGCACCTTCAAATACAATCGATGTGAAGCTGAATCATGACCCGGGACATAATATTTTGATTTATGTATTCCTATTTGAGTGCGGGGGATGGTCTGTGTATTACCTGAGCAACGTGAGCTTGAAAATACGCAGCCAGATATTCATGTCCATCAATGTGCCCGATAGTCACATAAACTCGCAGGTAATATATGAGGATGAGTGACTCACAATCCATGCCTTATCATATAAAAGCACTTAGTTTCACAAGTTAAACTCAATTTGTAATAAAAGCACATAGTTTCACAAGTTAAACTCAATCTGTACATGCAATCGTCAACAAAACATTTTCATCAGCAGAATTCTATAAACTTAAAAACACACAAAGATACAACTTTCGAAATATAATCGCAGTTTTCATCCACGATATTAACCTCCAGCTTCGTTCTCACATACGTTTGATTGGCGATACCAGATCGATACTCTCAGGTGAGTCTGTATATGTCTGTCCTTTTCGCGTTTGCGCACCATCAACGGGCGTAGAGGTGTGCATCTTGGTATCCTCAGACACACGCGTGCTGTGATTTTTCGTGCTTGCAAACAGCCCCTCCATTGGCGAGTCTTTTGTCTGTGTGCTGTCCTTCTCCCGGCGAGTGCTTGTTTTCTTCTTTGTGTGTGTTTTCTTGTGAGAGACGATATCGTATGCCTCTTCGTGTTCGCACGCATTTGGGCTTGCGGCAGGTGTTTCCCGAGGTGACTGGGATGATTCAAATGGCCAGCACTCAGCCTCGCTATCATCTTCCGCATCTGCGAATCCGAAACCTGAATCATGTCCCGAATTTTTCTTAGGTGACACACGTTCGTTGGTGCCCTGTGTGGGTGCAGGTGTAGGCGTGGGTTCGCACGTACTACTTTTTGCACCGCAAGCACCAGCAGATTTGCCAGCCCTGTTCTTACTGGTAGGGTGTGTAGCGCTGTTGGCATAAGCACGTTGTTGCGTGTCGGTTCTCTCTTCTGCGGCTCGTTGCTTCTCCTTTTCGGCTTTCATGCGACTGAATATATGAGTGTTGGATTCGAATTAGGGTGCTAATAATTTTAGTTCGTGGAGAAAAGACATGTGAATTTCATCTGTCTCAATCGAAGTATTACAAATGTACTTAAGCATATGAACGCACAAATCCAAAAATATGCTTCGTGCGACGGGAATACTCACAATCCGTACAGTGCATATTGAAATGACGCCTACGTCTTCCGCGGTACAATTTTAAAGAAATTACTACCTTTCCCTGATGGCCTCCGGGTCAACTGATGGTGCTGAGGTGGTGGCTTTCTCTTTCCTCCGTCGCAGTTTTTCTGCCATTTCCGCCTTCTTCAGTTCGTGCTGCAGTTTGTATGATAGAAGTGAGGAACGAAGTCTGCGATCATGCTATCTCGATTAAGATCGCATGGAAAGCACGGCCTATTAAAAATGTAGGCAAGCGCAAACAGTGAGCTTTACTCGTTTGCGAATAAACCCATTTCATGATGGCACAGGTTGTAATCTGGCGTCATTGTTTACGTGTAAGAACTTTATAACAATTCTATATGGTATACGGGCCAACGTTTCTTGCAGTTTCGTATGTAAAATATATTTGAGACACATCGAAACATCCATTTTAAAGCGTGATAGTCAATCCCTCTGACGAATAATAAAGCCTATATCACGAAAAATGCTCCACGCAATGATATTACCTTCAGTCTGATCCTTGCTGCGAGTTGATCCCTCGCCTTTTGCTCTAATTCTGAGCAAGAAAGAAGCAGCATGACGCGATCTTAGTATTTGACTGTTTGCAAGTATGCAATCTGAATTGGTTACTCGATATTCGAATGCCCCTATAGCGGCCTAGTTGCTACTCCCAGCCCAAACCCAGCGTAATATGACTTCGAGAAAGCCAAATGTATGTATCTGGTATTTTAGGTCGAAATACTATGCAAGTGATTGTCCACGTGAAAGGCAAATGTATGTGCCAAATATTCTGCACCACGAAATTCGATCTATGCGATACCAGCCATCAGGAATCTAAGAAACAATAGCAGACTTATACCGTTGTTGTGTACGATATGGCATACCAGATTCTGCGTTCATTGAGGCGGCAGACAACTTCACGTTGACATTTGAACTTCTCTTCTGCGGGTGCGAATGATAAACAAGATTCGGGTTACAAACAAATTGAAAAAAGGGTCATGCCAACAAAATTCTAACTCGGGTAAGTTCAAGAGTGTATGGTGAGGAAGGAATTTGACTATGCATACAAATACAATACTGAATAACTCAGATATTCATCACAGCTAGCAACATAAAAATATATACCCAAAATGAAAAATTCGCATTCGAGTGGAACATACCCTTGGGGGAGCCTCCTCTTCCGCCGCACCGGTGTCTCTTGTGGAATCATCTGATTTATTCTTGGTGCGTCCCATTGGGGTGTTTGCAGCCTTTGGTTTGACCGGCGATATATCACTGAGTCTGACTTTCTTCGGCCTATCTGCATTAAGTCGGCTATCTCTACTTTTAGGGCCAGATTTGGCTGATTTATCCGTGCGCATTGGCGATTTGTCTACGCCTAGACTTTGATAGTTCTCATTATTTGTCGGGCTACTAATGTGAGCGTTGTGTGTCTTGTCTGGGTTCGTGTTGTTGGCACGCTGGTAGGTAGTCTTGCTATTCAAAGGGCTACTTCCCCAACTATTCCGAGTAATGTTTTCTGCATTTGCGGGCTCTGATTTCTTACTGCTGCCAAGGATATTTCCGGTGCTCTTGCTACCAAATAAATTCTTTTTGCTGGGGGTGTTACCTGTGCTTTGGCGCACCTTCGTGGAGTCACTGTTCCTCTCCGTTGTGTGAGAGGTTTGTGTGGTAGCTTTGGGTTCAAAGGCATGTGACGCGGTCTCTGAGTGCGCTGCACGTGGCATGTCTTCAGACACGGACTTTGATCTTGCTACCTTCACTGGAGAGGCTTGCTCTTTTTTGTCCTTGCATTTTTTGCAGCGCTCCAATTCTACTTTGCGACCAGACAACCAGTTAACGAGTTTGCGTGCGTTTGTTTCATTGTTCAGATTCAGAGTGACTCTGTATGTCTCAGTCACCATACCAATGATACCTGTCAGAATTCAAGTATTGAAACATATATACTGGTCAGTCAAAATCCCATTTCAAGACTCGGTAGAATACGTACCCCGAGCAATCATTCTCTCGATATTCCTCTAGCTAATCGAACTAGCACAATATCACAGATAATTTCATTGACTGTAGGCGGCTGATGGCTCGTAGATGTGTAGCATAATAAAGCATATCCTACACTTTAGTATGCTCACAATCGGACATAAAAAAGGTGGCTATTGTTCACAATGGCATTCGAACAATACTTACAGACTAAAAAATAAGTTATCTGTATATGGCAGTATGCTCGCACGCAAACATCGGTAAAGGCAATTCCGCAGTACGAACCAATCAGGATGAAACTCCGAACGCATACAAGCATACCGTATTCTACTTCATCTTTGTCGACGCTGTGAATGTCCTTCTTGTAGATGTTAATGTCAGGTTTGCTCCTGTCGTGGCTTCTCACCTTAAGTATACGCTTCTTCTCATCCATTCTCAGCTGTTATTCCAAAAAAAAATATGAGCGATGAGTATCAAACAAAGTCGTACATATATACCAAAAGCAAATGAGTGAAGTATATCAAATTGAGTTGCGAATTTGACGCTATAGAAAGACTGTCAGGATAGCTTGATATTTTCATGATTCGTGGCTTATGTGAGGTTATGCTAGCTAGGTAAAGTATGCATGCTTTCGGATTGAACAATCATTCCACAATATAACAAAATCCTGCAACCCCAAGGTACAGATTTGCATATTCAGGTGACTCAGAAATTAGATGTCACACAGCTAAAACTCTGCGTACTCACTAAGAGCTAACTTTCCCAGGAAGGTAGAAAATGCATGGAGCTGGCAACGCGGGTACGCGACCATTATTTATTAAAATACGGAAACACCATAGAAAGGCTGGGAGATGTGAAAGCAGACGATGGTTCGCGTCTGCTGCCAACGCGCTCCTGCACCCGAAATTCCCACAACCAAAACTGATCACTTTGTGCTTGTGTTGTGGGAGGGATGGTTTCGTGCTTAGCACAACCGACGGTGGTGGTTAGAACAACTATGTTGAGAAAGATGGACCGGAGTGTAGTATTTGCACAATAAACCTTGGATATGCAGTTAAACACATACCATAAAATTCTTAGTACGCTTGAGAGTAGGTACACTTGTCCAGATAGCTGAGATAACAAAAACAAACAACCTACTGAGGGCATGATAATTACACATGGACGTGGTACGGCACACCAAATGAAGTCCAATAAGCAATTGAAGAGTTGCTTACCTCCAAATGGCGCCCAACAATACTCCCCAGTCCAATGGATTCTTGCGTCTTCATTTTGATATACACTGTCGCCATGGCACAACCCATAACCTTTGCACGCGAAGCTGCTGTACTCGAAGGTGTTGGCAGGTGAGATGTAGATGCAATAGGTCTAGTACTGGACGTTGTTGGTGGCGAGCTCAATATTCTGTGAACATTGCCAGATGAGCTATGAGTTTTTAAGCCAGGACTTGAACCCGAAAACAAGTTTTGCGGGCGTTGCTGAAAGGAGGTCGCCATGGTGACAGAGGTCTGCGATATGTCGTGTAACCTTGATAGTGTTTGGGCGGCTATAATGAAAGTGTCAGGTGCGTTTGTGTGCTGCTGTGCCTACTCTCTAATCATACACGCCTCATCGGCTATTATTGCAAACATGTGGCGAGGATTCTAAAGAGAAAGACTTGACTGTGGTGTTATTTCGAGATCCTGTATAAATACATATTTATGTATGAGATACATCAATGCAACCATTCGGATGATAAATAAGCGATAAATACTAAAAACCAGTAGTCCTATTTATTTTTGATACACAATAATATAAACGGCAGCTGCTTCAGCCTTCAGAACTTCAGAAGTCAGTTTTCCTTTGAGTCTGGGCTTCTGGGGTCAACACAAAGAGATGAACAGTTATCATAATTATTTAGATACATCATAATGTTGTAAATCATGTTTTGTATTTGATACGGTTGTTCTTGAACACTTCCAAAATCGTATTTGAAATAGTTTCATAGGGAGATTGCGACAATTTCATCATTCATATATAACAAATGGGCCGATTAAAACGCATATTTCATTAATTTCCGACTGTGGTCTGAGTGATATTATACAAATGCATATCAATTATATTCTTTAAAAAACAATATCTATTTAAAACAATACATGATATTCTATTTCCCTCTCGTGTGTGGAAATACGGATATTGTTACGTTGCAAATGCCGCAATAGATGTCTCTCCAGCAGTGCCGCCCTTTACAACTTCATACCGCCAATTTGTTTGACCAACGGATAACTGGAGATAGACCAATCATATGTGCGTATTACACTTCTATTTTGAGTATCTTGGTAAAGTCTTGTGCCCAGTCAAATCACTTAAATTGTGCCGCGCCCAGACAAAGCTTTTTCGTTAGCCAATGTAAATTGGGGTTGAAGACAAAACGCCAAAGGCGCGACGCAAATTTACTAATACTCTCACGGTCAAACCGACTGTGGTAGTAGGCTATGTAGAAGCATTCCAGCAGGAACCTGACTACTTGTACCTTCCTGAATCTGGATCATTTCAAGCATTTGTCAAATGTTAAAATTTTGTGATACTGATCCGATACTGTATCACTGTAGTGTTCTAATAAGAGACGGAACATACTATATCTCTCTTAGTTTTAAATCATCGTAAAGGTCCATGTAATAGGACAATTTGCTACATTTTGAATTCAGACTCGCTATATCGAAACTGCAGTATGTACAAGACTCATGGCTTCACTCGGGATCATGCCACCCCTTCACTATACTCGAATGATTTGAATGAGAGCGCTGACAGTTCTCGATGGGAAGATAAGGAAAACAGGAACGACGCGAGCAGGTGGCGTCAGCCAAAGTCGAAACCACAAAATAAAGAGCTGACTGAAGAAGGGTATGCTTTATATATATATTTATATATATATATGTATGTGTGTGTGTGTGAGAGAGAGAGAGAGTTATATATGTGTGTGTGTGTGTGTGTGTGTGTGTGTGTGTGTGTGTGTATGTGCGTGTGTGAGAGTGTGTGTGTGTAGTTGAGTGTGTATGTGTGGGTGTGGGTGTGGGTGTGAGTGTGTGTGGGTGTATGTGCGTGTGTGTGAGTGTGTGTGTGTAGTTGAGTGTGTATGTGTGGGTGTGAGTGTGGGTGTGGGTGTGGGTGTGGGTGTGGGTGTGGGTGTGGGTGTGGGGGGGGGGTAGTGGAGGACGAGGGGTCCGGGGAGTCGGGAGTTGCTATTTTTCTATTAGTTTATATATGTCTAGTTGAGTTTACTGCACTGGCCTTCCGAAAATTTGATTTTAATTAATATGTCGATCTTCTTCGAAACAAGCGTTCGATTCTCGATTATTGTGTGCGTTCATTTGCCTCTAGCCCGCATGTGTGTCATCATGATGTATCATGATCACCCTGACCCCGTGCGATGTAATTTGATACCCGGGCATGTTATATACTTGAGGCATTGCACGTGAATTTCGAATCACTGATGTTTAAAGCCCCCATCTCGTTGCTTTCATAAACCAATGGACTCGTTTCCTTAGGCTTAGTACGACAGAGTCCTTGGATAAATGTGGACATTTCTGTAATTGTGCTACTGTCGGTCTTCCCCAATCAACCTAATCACTTAACTTCAAATGCTCTTTCAATCGCCAACTGTGTTTGGCGACTTTGCACAATAGAAAATTGACATACCGCCAGAAGCAAATCGACTATGGGAAAAACACGATTGGATACGACAACTACATTCGCGCTGTTCCTGTGTAAGTGATATACTCCGACCATTGATTGCATATATAGTCGAATCTCATGTGCAAACATGCGCAAGGTGTACTGATCTACACATGGACATTGGCGTGTATTTTGTATAGTTTACTGGCGCATGTCTTGCCAGTTTGTTCTAGAAACCTCCCTTACTTTACGCTTATGGAAATCGTGTTTTGTTTTAAATATAATCTGACATTCCATACAATGATCAGCCACAAACGTGACAAGCGCAACCCCAAGCTGCACCCGCGCACACCGGATAAGCGTGTTGAGAACATGTCCACCAAACGCTTTGCTAGTCATCTCAGAACATGGCGGAAGGCACTTCATCAGTACGACGATTGGAGCCCGCCCTCGACAGGTAAAGCGTATATTCTACTGTTGTGGTGCGCTCTCGTATAGCTTACCACGCCTTTAGTAGGGTCTGCGTGAACCGATACTTAATTATTATTTCTGAGTTTACAAGCACATGGTTAGGGCGACAGTGCACGTATCAATATTTTGAAGGGATCAACCTCGTCTACCACACTACAGCGGCGACGATTACAATCGCAAAGGCAACACATGCAGAACGTGCGCCTAGAACAGCTCTGGGAGTGGCCCGTTCCGCATCCAGTGCACTGTTTCCCAGTAATGAGAAAATACCAACTGTAGCGTGCACTATGGTTAGTGCTTTGAGAATGGATTTATCGGCTGAAAAATACTTTGAAGAGGATGAGGATGAAGAGGACTTGGACATTGTGCCCATGTGTATGCTGCCAGACTTGGAGAATATGGATGAAGAGGGGTATGTGAATCATCTCCACAGTGCAAACTGCAGGTATTATACTGGCTCTGTGTGTTTGTTTCCAATTCAGTATAGAGGTGAAAACCTCCAGATTTTCTGGAAGTGCTTGCTTATTTTCATATTGTTCGATGAGATTGTTTTTTCAGAAAGAACAACCCCCGTTCGCATGTGTGTACTGTCACTGATGCAGAATGGACATATCCCTGGTGTATTGTAAAAGTATATTAAATTGTACCATACCCTTGTTTAATGCGCGCAGCAGTTAAAGCACATGATGTTTTGCCATTGACCGATGTGTATATCGCTGTTTAGTTGGAGCTCGCCGCTGTAATGATTCAGAAGATGCTTCTGGCTGTGGTTGCGGTTGAGTGAAGCATGTTTATCGTGTCGGTCGACAGGTCCTATCTTCGATCATAGCGGGGTGTTAGTTTGCTGACTCCCTCCATTTTCCCTCACATGAATAGCGTGGCATAATGCAGTGATATATTAGCGACGGTATTTCCGTATTCCGCAATAAGAACTCGTTTACCTGCTAAGTATATATATTCGTACCTATTCATGAAGCAGCAATGTCATAGTACCAGCGGACGACAAGACGGACGTCACGTACAAGGAAAACGTATCCGCCGGCACGGCTGAGAGTAACAACCAGAACGAATGTAATCCGAACGATTCGAGTTGCATTTTCACATCAGATAGTTTTTATGTAGAAGGATTAGAGGATATATACTAGTTTTGTTTAGAGGATATATACTGATTTGGGGTGGAAATTCTATATATACATTTTAATTCGGGAGTGATAAATCGCGGGACACTCTGTACTCTTAAACACGCCGTTGTACTAGATGATTTGCAAGGACGGATACACGATAATACGCATAGCAAGAAACCTATCGACAGTGATCTAAAAGGATTGATTTGCCTACGCATGAACTTACTAGAGGTATACAGACTTGTTGTAGCAACACACTTGCGGTATTCGTAGCGCAGCGCGGTCCTTATGGACCAATGTAGCTAATACAAACGAGCAACTTCCGTCGCATCAATAGCCTCTCGCAAAAACCGTTATATCTGAACGCAGGGATGCGCATCTTGTGGGTTTAGACACATACTAAATGGGCTATCCCGTTAGTCACAATCTCGAGTGCGATGCGGTTCATTCGCAATTTTTTCCCCATGTGAGGGTTCTCGCTCGCGTAGAATTCCTGAGTCTGAGCGAGGACGCAACACATCACCAAGCAGGCGGTTAGTCCCTGGTTTTAGACCATCTTGCTGGATTATCCGCGGGTCACAATAAAAAGACAACAGGATTGAATACTGGAATTCACAGCCAAAGTTTTGAAATGTACTTTGCGAAGTTTTCTTCGCGAAACAATCATAGAAGTAGAATGAATTCGTACTAAGTGCAATATCATCGACACAGGCGTCGACGTATAGTAAATAGGATACCACGCAGAGTTTCAAGCATGGTAAGAGAAGGATACGTATCTACTGCGCCAGAATATTGTCATCGATGAATTTGCCACTGTTGTATTGCATTGACAGAGGTATCTCCTGCGATATATGTTTCGATGTTTTATTTTTACTTTATTTTAGTGCTTTTCGAGATTCAGATGAAAGTGTGAAGGATGTGGTGTTATATATCATTGTGAAGTGTTATACATGCTCCATTCTTATGTTCTTTGGGAGACTGGCTCTATTTCTATCGCTGGAAATGTCTCTATTTTCTATTTTATGGTGTCTGCCCGGCTCTCCGGCATCTGAGGTGTACAGCAGTATCATGTATACTGAATACATTTATATGTTCAACATACATACATGCTATTTCAATTCTTGGGGTTGGCGCGTAAGTACTATTGTCCGCGCCCAATACATACAAACTGCAGCCTGAACGGATAATCACAGTTGTGTCATTTTGATATATATTCACCGACTTCCAGAGATATATAACTATATAAGGGTACCGATACCGATGTAATCGACAGCACTTTGTGCGACACTGCTCCCGACCCTGTATACACCCTTAGTCGGTGCATATGGATCTAGTTGGCCCATGCTCATAACATCACTGTCGTTTTGTTTTGGGTGTTGCACGCTCACATTCGCACGTGTATATGTTGTGTGTTTCTTCATGATAGCGAGTGGATTTTCTATGTTAAAAGGACGGGATGTATTCGGCTTGATACCCATTGGAGTTGCATCTGCCATATATTGTTCCTCCGACACTTGGGTACAATCTGAGTTTGAACCAGGCGCATCATAGTTGTATGAGTAAGGTAAAGTATCTCCATCTTTCATAGCCCAGTCGATGGGTTGTTTCGTGGTCATGAAGTTTTCCAATTGCTCGCCCGTAGGTGCCTCCTCGATTTCAGCACCGAGAGCACAATGTTCTAACGATGTCGTTTTGCTGGGATGTGCTGATTCAGAGATATCTATGCCGACACTACTATCTCTAAATATAGTTGTGGTCGATGAAAGTTCTGAAACAGGCACAAGGGCTGACACGGGCATTCGTACTGGGATAGAAGTGATTTCGCCCAGCTTAGACGCAGGAAACACAGGGCGCTTCCTTCCATTCGAAGTCATATTTCTCGGAATATACATACCGCGTCTCGTTGCCTGTACAGCTGCTTCGGCCATTGACATTGGCAATGGTGGTAATGGCATCGCTTTTAAGGGCGCGGTAACCGATGAGATAAAAGCTGTTGAACACGTCGAGCTAGACATGCTGGCGCTACGAATGCTCTTTCTCTTTTCAATGGTCTTGTGGGAAGCTGAAGTGAGTTGGTCGCTACTGTTTGAGTGTATCTGTGGATCATGGTCATGGTCAACTATTTTTGTAGGACTGCTCCGTTTGCGGCTTGGTTCGTCTAGTACTCCCTCGGTCATGTAGCGGGGTGTCGCTGTGTGTGTTGATACAGATCTACCAGTTTCTGATTCCGTATACATTACTGGAGAGTTTGGTGATGTACTCAGATTCGAGCAAGAGAGGTAGTTGTTTGGTTTTCGTTTTATGCCTGAAGCTGTGACAACAGGTCTCTCCAGGCACAATTCCGAGCGCTTACGATTCAAGTTCAATATTTTTTGCTCCCGCGCAATATTTTGTTGATGCATAACACGCTCGAAATACTTTTTAACCTTTCTGTGCAGTTCAGGTTCGATGTGCAAATTGTATTCTAGGGCGACTAACGTTTCCTTTTCCAACGTATTAATGTGTGCCAAGTCCACTTTCGCAGACTGGGCCCATTGACTGTTCGAGAAGGGCACGTCGCAGAAATACTTGCTTGCAATCAAAACAGCTGCTAGAAACATTTGTCGTGTTGACACTTTGGAAGTATCTATCCGGCTCTTTGCAAATTTCACCTTCAGCTTTTGCAGGTAGATTACAGAAGCAATGACCACTGTGTAATCAACTTCCATATCCACCGTCATACGGGCTATATATTGGCGGAGAACGTCGATCGGGCGATTCGTTTCCCATATATTGTGCATTACAAATGCTAAATGACCTGTTGAAAGAGAAAGTGTAAAATTAATTTACACTGAATCGCATACATTTTTAACTAGGTTTATACTGCTCGGAATGAGATATACGGAATAATAATTTACATAATCGAGCGGAATTGTGACACACTTACCTATAATATCTGCTGGCACATCTTCAGACAGGAAACGAATCATCCCGGGATGCCTCTCATCTGGATCCGTGTAGCTGCCCATTGATTTGGAATAAACTATATCATTATGTACATTGCTGCTTATCGTCGCTGAGCTTTGCGGAATATTGCCTGATATACTATCACATAGTACCCCGTTGTCTCCATTAAGAGAGATCCCTGAATCCTGTCGCCGCATACTGATCGTAGAAGAAGCCATGGCACGTGGGAAGGGCATAGTGAGTTTTATGTATCGGGCGATAGTTCAATCCTTACCAGATATTAGGGCCTAACTTAAACCTGCGATCACGTTAGAATCAAGTGCAGTGCAACTGACATGAAATGTACTCGTTTCGTGCGTGTCAGCTTCCTCCGATGTGTGTAGAGTATATGTGAAAGACGGCTACTTGTGATTTCGTATTATATTGAGATTTCCACCTGCTAAGCAGCAACGCACACCAAAAGTGCAGGGTTGAATTTACTGAATCCGATTGTGTTTTAAATAAGAGCATCTATTCCGTGATCCCCACTACTTTATATTGTATTTTATCTCGCTGGTCAACTGGCCATCATATCCTTCTGTGAGGGCTAGGGCTTGTCACCTGTGCCGCTTTGACTCTTGTCTGTCTCGACTCTCGAGTCTCGAGGGAGAGTATATGACAATATGTCTGTTGCAAAAAAAACATGTTTTTTCTAGAGAATATCAACTCTTATACTATATGCCTGTCCTTTCGGAGATTTCGGACGCCAATATAAACCTCGATAGCGTATACCAGACTTCCAGTCAAGACTTCAAGACTCAAGCTTCGATACCACTCGGTCCAATATCATCAATCTACTACATGGTATACAATTATAATTTTATACAATAATATATGGGTGCCCGAGACACGGCCCAATCAATTACATACATCCCCACTCGCCCCAGTAGTATCTCCCCAGAAATTGAAAGAGGGCAACTGAGAATCTTAGAACTCAGGTGCTCGCAATAGGAAACGAGCGAAACTAGCCTCCCAACTGAAAAAAATGGTCTTTATAGGATCATCCAAGAGAAGAATAGAGTAAAATACATTTGTAGGACACAGACTATTTTTTCAACCCTATTTTAGAAGTCAAATTTTGCCCAAGACTTTCAATAATATGGAAATAAAGCTTGATTCTTTTCATTCTATAAATTATCGTTGTATTTTCGAAATAGATTTGCTATGGTAACCACATAAATTGAGATTGTCAAATACGTTTTCGATAATTATGGCTCGGCCCTCCCCAATTGATTCAGAAATGAAATTCTGAAATGAAAATGTACGCAATACGAATAAATACGTTTTTCAATATTGTCGTTACTACGGTAATCTAACTGCTATTGGTGGTTGAAATTAAGGAGTAGATATTCCTAGCGACCGTTATATTTTTTTGATTGAAAGTGTTCTCGTGAAAGACAATAGCTAACGATTGGACCCGATGATCGACGTTGTGTAATCGGGATGATCGCAGCGGCGCATGCCACGTCCGACCGCAAACAGATTATTACAAAATTTTACAACTACTACATACGAGTTGTAAAAAACACAAAACTGGCCATTTAAAATTTATAACTTTAAAGCAACCAACCCAGCGTCGATTCTGAAATGTGGTACATAAAATAAAAATGTTCTTGTTCTTGGGCGACTCACCATAACAGCGTGAAGTGTGTGCCTCCCTGACTTTTATTTCTTGTGTATTCTAGAAAAGTTCTCGACCGCGAGACGCGAGTTGTTTGAGAAATTTAAAATTACTAATGAAGTACAATTCTTGAGTTTCTCGTATTCCATCCCACTTTTTAGAGTGAAGTGTTGTCAGAATTCCGCCTTATAATGGTGTGCAGTCACAATTCCCAAATAATATAGCACTGTAGCTAACACATGTATAGCATATAGGACAGCTCAATTTGAGACATATGATGCTTCTTGCAAAATCATTCAGAGCAAGTCTACTTGGTTCGATACATGAACAAATCGTGCCTGGGGTAGCACACCATTTGCCAATTAGTTGAATAGTGTAACGTCAGAAAGCAAATAAATATATGACTTGGACTCGCACCGAAAGGCACTCCAAAGTAAATTCTCGCTTGAGAAAAATTGCTAATCCATCACTCCATTATTTGCACCAACTCGTACAAACCTTTGTAGTATTAAAGTACGTCAAACGTAGCGACGTCTAAAAAGGGCACACCTTACACCAAATTTAAAGAATCGTGTGTTTTACTCCTCGTAGTCTATCTAGACTATTCTGACGGCCAAAAAATGTCGATTGTGGACACAAGATACAGTCATATCTTATTGCTTGCCCACTACACAAGGATCAAGTGCAAATTCGTATATGCATGTACGTCTATGTGGATAAAAGGAAATAAATGTATCTATGTGATCATATATATATATACATATATATGTGTGTGTGTGTGTGTGTGTGTGTGTGTGTGTGTGTTATGTGTGTTGTGTGTTTNTTNTATATATATATATATATATATTATATATATATATATATATATATATATATATAATATA